GACTTGAATTTTAGGGCTGTAAGCTTTCGGTGCTCCAAAGTGGTCTGATCCAGGGCAAAGTCTGATGGTTGTCCATCCGGCCTGGGCTCTGTAAGTCCCTGACCTGGGTTTGGGTCTGAGCAACAGCAGATGCTGCTGGGCTTAGCTCCTATCTGCCAGCTGGTTCTGAAGCACAGACCTGAAGGTTTTCCTTTGGTCTGGGATGCCTGACTTGGCCATTCTTCTGCAGGTTTCAGATTGGGCTGGAAGGTGGAATGGTGACCCTGTCTTACTCATAAGGTCACTGACATAGCTGCTCTCCACCTCTAGAATATCACCTTTGCACACAGTTTACCTTCCTTAACCTACCTTGGATCCGTAATCCAGAACTGAGTAGGGAACAACAAACCTGCCAGCTGGCACATGCTCCCGCACCCTAAGGTGCCCTGGCGTGGGGCTGGGACCCCCTCTTGCCCTTTTCCCTGGGCATGGCCTGCTCCTGGCCAGATCCCATTATCAGGGTCCACAGATTTCTGTCTCCCTATGCTGACCTTAGCTAGCTGACCTTATGCTGACTCACTGACTATTTTGCCATCAAGATTCAGTCTGCTGCATTTTCTAGATCTGTTTGGATGAGGTTTGGAGGAGAGCTCACAGAACTGCTTTCTGCTACTCTGCCATCTTGGCTCTACCTCCAACAATCATACATTTCTCAGATGTTTATCTTTTATATAATTACTTTCACTCAAGTCATTGTTGTTAATATGCCAAAACCTTAGCCTCCATCTCCCACCATGTCTTTCCATTACCTTTTGAGTCACTATAATTTTGATTCTTCAAAGACTATAGTATTTCATGATTTGGGGTCATAGAGCAATGCCTTAAGAATACCATGTGAAAAATATCAGATTTTTTTTTTCATTAATAGCAACTTGGGATTGGTGAAACCACCACATAATTTCCTACCCATAATCTTGCCCATCTTCTTCTTGTGATTTAATTCTCAACTCAATTTATTGTCCATCTACAGTGTCTGTCCACAATAGTTGTACTAATAAATTAATTCAATGGGAATGCCCATACAATAGCATGTCACAGTCTGGGAAATGGACATTCCTTTTTAAAGTGGTCACGGATCTCACTGACACATAGTATTTTGGCACTTTCTGCAATCAGTAGTCAGTACCAATAAGAAATCTCTCTTTAATTGGGACTCTACATAGCACATCCTCCATGAGCATAGTGAATACTTTTGGTGAGCTTCAGTATCCCTGTTTTAGGCTTCATTTGATACCAATGATCAAAGGATGGTAAATAAGGTCATCTGTGTTTCAAGAAATATTTTATAATCTCAATCTTGCATTTTCTTTACCATTTAGTCGACTGTGTGACTGTGCAGATGGGGTGTGTTACAGAAAATCATTTGCAAAAACCTGCTTGTTCCCTTCTCATATTTTTATCATGGACACCCTTAACACATGTATAGCTTATACTCGTGACAGTTTTATAGAGGTATAAGCATATAGGTTGGTAGTTATTGATACCGTCTTCATATCCTTTTTTGGAAAGATTTTAAAATCACGTCAACCTCCCTCCCACACACACACACACACACACACACACACACACACACACACAGTTATTTTCTTTGTGTCCTTGGTCTGACTCAATTAATTTTCCAGTCTTCATTTTTTCAGTGCCATTCCCATGTCTTTACAGAGTGCATCAGAGGCTGAGATGCTGGGGCCCATTTTTGGTGGCTCCACTGTTATTTAATGATGAACATTTGCTATAGAAATTTTGGCAGAATTGCTGAACTTTTTATCTGTTTGTTTTTCTCCTTCTCGTTTCATGTTTAAGTGGGGTGACCGAGCTTATCTGGCTCTCATGCCAAGTATCTAGAGCTTCATTTCCTCATTGCCTTCACAAAAGTATTGCTCATTTGCCTCACGGAATGAAAGTGACCAAGGTTCTTAAAGGCTTTCTTAAGGGAGAGAATAAACTCAGGCAAGTTCTATCAATCCCATCACTAGTAAGGATGGCCCCTCAGAGATGAATTTCTTGTTTCCTGGTTTACCATATAATCAAAGAAACATACAAAATGGCCCTTGGCTTTGTGTGGCTGGTTTTTTGCTTCTGTAACGATGCTGGGAAGATAGCAAAAGGCATCCACAATTTTAATAACACATTAATGAATTGTGACATCAAGGTGCCATAGTGGATAGACTGATCAACATGGAGCCAGGAAATATTAAGCTCAAAACCTCCCTCAAAAACTTACTAAGCAAGAGGACTCTGGAAAGATGGCGGAGTGAGTCAGAAAATTTCAAGCTCTCAAGATTTTCCTCCACAAGAGATAAAATAGCACCTCTGGGTAAACATGGAGCCATGAAAACAAAAAAGAGTAGGGGCGGAAGAGGGGTCCTCCTGGGACAATTGGAGAAGGTCTGAAGAAAAATCCTGGACAAGATTTCCTCCTTGTGATGAGCAAACACCTCCATGCTAGGGTCCACTTCAACAAGTGGCAAGTACTGGGGTTAGCTGATTTAGGACGCGGTTGCTGCTGCTGCTGCTGCCTCAGCCACAGAAACTTTTACCCCCAGGACAGTGAAGGGAGTTGGGTGTCTGACCTGGGGAGGACCAAGGGAACCTTTTCGGACAAGGAACACCAGACCCAGCTGTGCTGGGGAAACGCAGTGGGGGTGAAAAGGAACCAGCACACACCCGATGAGTGCAGAAGCAGTGCAGCGAGGATGCCTTTGCTGTGGGCACTTACAGGAGGCTGGAGGTCTTGGTTTTAGTTCAAGGGCAGAAGGGTGAACTGAAGAGGATTAGAGGCACCATCCCCCATACCCCAGGACTAGAAGTGATTATAAAAACCAAATTATTACAAAAACCTACTAAGCTATGTGATCTTGGGCAAGTTCCTTAATTTCTCTGAGCCTCAGTTTCCCTGTCTATAAAATGGGGGGTAAGAACATCTACTTTATAACTTTATTGTGATCACAAGATCTCAAAATCTGTAAAGTGCTATGTAAACCATAAATCACTTGAATTATAATTTTAATCACTTAAATCATAAATGCTAGCTACTAAATAATAATAATAAATGTGTGATCCTTGTCCAAATATTATTATTGATGAACATATGATCCTTGTAAAAACTAGGTGCTGGAAAAACTGAAGCATACTAACATTGATACTCTCACTATAAATTAAACCAAGATATATAACAAAGTTGCAGCTAAATGGAAAGATGGCTCCCATATTCTCCTCGAAGAGGCAAATAAAAGAGTTGGCAAAGTTGGTTTCATTGCTTGCCAAAGAAATACCAAGAGACAACTGGATATCTCACTTTGCCCTATTTATGATGAGAATAAGCAAAAAGATCACCCTGAAGAGAATTGCAGCTCATGGTCAACATCTATTACTGAAGAAGAAGAGACAGCAGAATTCTATCTCAACAAGGGCCTCCAAACCACGTCAAAACATACATTTTGATACTTAGTGACATCAACACAAAGTTGACCAGAGCCTAAGGATGGTGGAAAATAGGGTTTAGATCACATATTCTGTCAGGCTTGGTCAATGGATTGGTTAGTTTTGATGAAGTGCCTTTTTTCTTATCTTTCTTGTTTTATTCTTTCTTACAATGGCCCACTGGGTACAGGAGGCGAGAGAAACGAGTTTGTGTACGTGTACATACATACTTTTTTTTTTTAAAACAGGACTCAGATGTGATGAATATCATAAACTCCGATCACCATCAAACAGCACAAAAATGTAATGGATCTTATCTAAATGGACAGGAATAACCTGGGTGTCAACGTAGACAACAATTCTCAATCAGCAGTCTCTAGGTGCTCATTATAACAAATGTCAAAATCAATACCAATTACAAGTACAAAAATAAGAAAAAGACAGTACAATTACAAGGGCTTCAACCTGACCTATTCCAACAAGTTATGATGCCACAGAATAGAAAACAGATAAAGGAAAAGAGATCAATACAGACTATCAACATTTCCTACAGACTTCAAACTAACATAAAGTAATCACTACAAACAACGAGTCAGGAGAGCCCAAAAATGAGCTTTGCCAACAAATACCTAATCTCTTTGCCAAGAAGAAAGACATAGAAGACAATGATGATACTGGTTGAGAATATAAGGAAATGAACAGAAAAAATGTTAGGGTATTACACACTAGAAAAATCCCATTAAGACACGGAATATACGGATTCAAACAAAGATTCACAGAACTAAAAAAAAAAAATCTGACGTCATCTAGTCTAATCCCCTCATTTCCTAGATGAAAGGTTAAATTATTTTCCTGAGGTCACATCACTAATTGTAGAGTCAAGCCCAGATCCCAGGTTTCTAACTTCTAGTTTAGTATTCTTTCCAATCCACAAGAGTAATATATTTCATTACTTTATAAAGACATAAGCCCCCTGTTATAATAGATATGTTTAATTATCTTATAATAGAAAAAAGACATCCTATTATAATAGAAAAAGCGATGGGCTTGGAATCTGATGTGAATCTGAGCACATACTCCAATCTGAGGTATCTCTTTGGGGACCTTACTGAAACCTTTGGGTTTTTTCACCTATAAAATGGAGGCAAGAATATTTACATTACCTACCTGGCAAGTTATTACGATAAAATGTCACTATAAACCTAAAAATGCTAAATCGATGTAGCAGAAGTACTAATATTACTACTAGTAATAGAAATAATAAAATATAAAGTATATTAAATCATTCCCCCTCCCAAATCTAGGAAATATATATATATATAATAGTTGTAATAAAGGCTATGGATCCTGTCTCCCAATCTTAGCCTCCTCATCTTCTAAGTGCTATTTTGTTCAGCTAGTTACTTGTCCTACTTCTCTAGGATCAAATTTTCGGGATTCTAAAAATGATGTATTAGGAGCAGTGAATCCAGCAAACTCATCAATTTGAAGCACCTGGCCTTAACAGCAACATACTTAACCATATCTGAATTCTTACTCACTTTCTTCTCTCTTCCCTCCACTTTTCAATCTCCTCTGGAGTATCTAATTTTATCCGCTTGGCACCAGGAGCATGCATCTAAGAGGGAAAAAAATGTTTCCAGTGTCAAAATGAGTCTGCCTTTAATTACTGGGAATGTGATCAGTGCGAATGGGAGTAATGGGGACTTCACACAGAAAGTCAAGTTCAGCACCAGCCATGGCAAGAAAACTACCAAATGAGTAGCTTTTTGTCATTTCCACACTGTGATTTCCCCTAATGAGTTGTTTTGAGTCATGATTAATCCAGTGCTGCCTTTCAGGGAAGAGAGACTTTGACTAGTAAATGAGGTTCTACCAGATCATTTTAACAAAGTCATATAAATCTATATCACTGATGAACATTAAGCATCCTATGCATCTTCTTAATTTGACAATGAGAGTAGCTGAGGGGATAACAAGACCAAAAAATTAAGTATAACTATAATCTGTCATATGCCATAATTACTGTAGAGTTGGCAAACAACCAAAGAAAAGAGGCTGGTAAATCTAATCATAAGTCTAAGAGTGATAACTTACATTTTTCCAGTGAATCTGAACAATCTTCTCATGAGCACTAAAACTGCAGCCATCAACCGAGCACTGACGTAATTTAAAAAAACAAAACAAAATAAAACATTATTCACGACTTTTCACACAAAATCTATCCCGCCACAACACAAATAATGCCCATATCCAATTTGTTCTTACAGTCAATTAAGCTTTTTGAGGTAAAGCTGATTACTTCTCAATGTTTAAATCAAGGACAGAAGAAATACCACTCCAGAGCAGAGACGTGTGCAGAAAGGGATTTGTATACTGAAAATGGACATCAAATATAGTAATAGGTTCCTCTCGCTGCTTGAGTGCCAGGATCATCTCAGAAGGAAAGTAAAAAAAACAAGCAAAAACACTCTCAATGGACCCTAACCACTCTTAAGAATCGAAAGGGAGGGCTTAAAGGAAAGTTTAGAGGGCTCCTGTGATTTTTCTTTGCCTTCTCATACATGATGATAGGGTTAATTTGGAGTTTCATTTAATAAAGTACCACAGGGGTCACACATAAGATTATATGGTAACCTTATGGTTACACTGTAAGTGGGATACAGGCCCATAGCAATCACCAAAGGGGTGCCCTCTATAACACTACTGACAATTTTTTTTGTGTGGTGTAAGCAAAATCAAGGACAGCCTTGGCATGGGGAAAGAACGTACCAAAGAACACTACAGTGCCTGATAACTGTATAAGAGACTAGGAAGGGGCAGCCCCACTCCAAGGCATTTTGGCAATGGAGAAGAATACAACAGCGAGCTAACAACAACAACAGTAACAGATCACATTCATAGAATGCTTTAAGCTTTACAAAGCGTTTTACAAGTTATCTCGTTTGACCCTCACAACAACCGTGGGAGACAGCATGCGTATATGAACAGTTGTGTTCTTTTTAAAAAGACAAAAACAAACAAACAAACAAACAAAAAACCATGCAAGTTTCTCACCTACCCACTACTACCTGCCTGGTCCCTGAAGAAATGAGGCTCCCCAAAATAGGGGGTATGGCCCCAGAGCAGGCTGTCAATCTGTCAAATCTTGTGACAACTCGACATCAGATTACCCTGCTAACTGTTAGGAAGCACTAGCATGCTACATTTATCAAAGTTATCAATCTTACGGAAATGAAATTTGAAATTGCTAAGAGATACAAAAGTAGAGAGAACTATTCTGAAAATTACGGATCAATAAGAAAAGAAAACTTACTGTTCTATGCTGAGAGATGTGCTCATCATATTTTTCTTGATTTTTAAAGCCACGGTCACAAGTATCACAGTAATGGGTATAAACTGGTTCTTTATTTTTCTGTTAGCAAAAAAAAAAAAATGCAATCTTTTTATATATTTATCATTCCTTAAAAAGAAAACTTTTAATAAACAGCCACCAAAAGAACTTCAATATCAGAACATGAATGACAACTTAGAAAATAAAGAACTAGAAAAATTACTTTAATTAAGAGCTATCAACATTAGAAAATGTTCATTTTTCCTACCTTAGTACTCTCCTGCCCAAAACTAACTTGTATTTATTCTGTCTATATTCTGTATATGTTTGCATTCACATGTTGTGTCTCTTATTCGGGTGTAAGCTCTTTAAGGACAGGAGCTATCTCAATTTTTCTTTGTATCCCTAGAAACTAACATAGTGCCTTGCATATAGTAGATGCTCAATCAATACTTGCGGATTTAAAAATTAATTAATTAATTAATTCTAAACATAGTTAGAATTATGGAGGAAATAAGCTAAGGAAAAAGATAAACCTTAAAACTTATAAATTCACTTAAATAAATTTTATTCATTTAAATAAAATTACTATGGTTTAAACAGCCATGAAAAATAAACATTGGACGCTTAATAAGAGGTCAAAAAAAAATTACTTTCAGTTTAATGGAAGCCAGCTAGATGGTAATGAAGAAGTGTATCAGCACCCAGCCCATTATATGTGCTGTAATCACATTAAAATGCCTCCTGACCTTCTATTCCTTAATTCTGATTTACAGAATATCTATGGCTCTTGGGTGAGATCTGTGAATGTTACAGGTAGACGTTTCTGTTCTTTTACATAAGTAGGACACAAAGGAAAAGGGGAGAACGATGCTAGCAAAAGGAGCCGTTAATGCGCAATCTGTAGGTTAAATTAAATTTTGTGTAGGTATAACACAAGGTTGCATTAGTAGTCTATCTCAGACAATTTAATACTAAAAAAAAAAAACTGAGCTAAGGAAAAAAATGTTTCCTCCTTTCTTTGCAAGAACTCCACTGTGCAACCATCCAGACGGAAGGAGAGAGAGACAAAAATGGAGCAAGTGCAGATTTGGACTAAACCCAGGATTTCACTAGAAAGGGAATGGCATTGAGGAAGCTTCTTTCTAACAATGAAGGTCAGCAAATATTCTGCCTGGTTATGTGCCCAAGGTCATTAATGTGTCAGAGGAGGGACTGGAACCCTGATCTTCCAGATTCTAAGGTCATCTTTCTATCCACTAACCCAAAACAAAATGAATCCCTTAATGCAGGTTAATTGCTTTCATATTTTACCATTCTATAATTAAATTAAGGCAAATACATAGCTGAAACCTTTTTAAAAAGATTTTCAATATCAAAGGTAGAATTATTGCAAGTAAATACATTTAGTATTTATGTTAAATCCAACATTTACACAGCATTTATATAACATGTTTATGGAATTTTATTTTATATGGAAGTTTTCACATTAAAATTACGAAAACTGTACACTGTATCCAGTACACAACTAATTCCTAATCTGAAAGCTTCTATTTAATGGGACCTCAAGGACATGGTCTATAAATTAGGTAGACTGGACTCTCTGAGCTTACAAAAAAAAAAAAAAACACCCCCCCCCCCACACACACAAACCCACACCCACATCCCCATCCCCCTCCACTGTCTGATCAACATTGACTTAGTGTCTAGAGGGGAAACACCATCACAGTAGGAAAAAGAAACCTGATTCACACGAAAGAAACAAAAACAAAAACAAAAACCTTACACAGGCAACAAAGAGCCTATCTCTGAAGACTTCTCTTTAATACCTTTTGTTTCTGTTTTCCACTTTGTTGATTTTTGAAATTTCGATTTGATCTGTCATGGTTTTTCTTGGGAAAATGATAATTTCTGCCTACAAAACAAAATTAGAACCACAGTTACTTATAATTATTTTTAAACTACACATCACAGGGAATCTGTTGAGAAGCAGATATAGTAGAAATATAGTACAGAAACCAGACATAGCAGAAATATACAACTCTTCCTCCTTTAGGAGAATATGAGTTAGGTGAGATGGCATTTCCACAAAAAAAGCAGACTCAAACCACTGGTTGACCTGTGCATCAGATGCTGATGTGACCCATCCACTTCTCATCCTCTGATATTCTTGTTTATGTCCTTCTAGAAATCTTCTGAAGATCTACCTGACACACCAGAAGCCTTCCTCTCCTCTCAGTCTCCCCCTTGCAGAGATATCAGGGCAGCCGGTGGTCAGCTGTCCATCTGTTAAACCTCACTCTTCTACATTATGCTTCACCTGCTTTTCCAATCATACACTTCTCTGATGATCTTCTTGTGAAAATCCTTGTACACACGACACCACCGGTAACATGGTGCAACTAACTCTACCACACAACTGTGCAAAGCCCTCTAAGTCACCAGGAATTTTGTTTCTTCTGAATAACGAAGGAGATACATAAATGATATTTCATGGTTTGCCATCCTGTAGCATAACCAAAGGACCATTAGTGGTTTCTAAAGCAGTGAATTGCTTGAGTTCGATGAAAACATTGTAATTTATCAACTATGTCCCAATCTACTCATCTTTCTCCCGTTTAATGCTAGGATTGAGCCCTTTATTCATCTGCAGTGTCCATACAAGATTGATGTGTTTAACTAATTTCCATAATATTAGCAAACAGGTATCCTTCAAGCATCCTTAAGCATTGTCTCATAAAATCAGAACTGTTCAATCTAATAAATGATGAGCAATAGGAAAAATATCTTCAGGTTTTAATGACTACCTACCACACAGGGTAATTGTGATGAAAGGGCTCTGCAAATTGTAAAGGACTAGAGACATATGAGTTATTTTTCTCATTATTAAATAATGTATTTCAAATTGATTTGCATTCAACTGGAGGCAGCCGGCAGAACCATGGATAGAGAGCTGGGCCTAGAATCTGGAAAAGCTGAGTTCAAATCCAGCTTCAGACACTTACTGGCTATGTAACCCAGGGCAAGTCACTTAACTTCTAGTTAACAACTTTCTTAACTTTCGAGTCACTGAAACAAATGACAATTTAGTCAGTGACTGAAGTGAGACACTACATTCTTGGTGGATTTTCATTATCAGTGCTGTAATTTTCGCTTGTATAAAAGATGATTCCACTATTTTTTATAGATCATCCTATATATCACCTTCCGCCCTGATAACATGTGTTATTAATAGATTATTACAGATACACTCACCCTGTATCCTCTTTATTCTAAGAAATTTTGTTAAATCAGAACAGTTTTGTGCAATATTTAAGCCTTCGTTACTGTGTTATTCTTGCTATCATATCAAGTACCTAACTCTTCCAACTCTAACATACCATTTAAAATCTGATCCATTAATTTTATGCCCAGTAAGAGCTGTTGAATGAAAAGTCTATATCAAGTATTCATGATTTAATATTAAATATTTAAAGGAAATTCAATTTTTTTCCTGTTTCATTTGCATGAAATGACTATCCTCTAATAAAAATGTTTACTAGGATAACACTTGCTCTACAATTAACAAAATTACATTGCTGAAGCCTAGGATAACAAGGTTTAAAGCTAAATGAGGCTTTAGAGAACTTGATTTTGAGGACCAGGAAACAATTCAACCCCTTTCTTTTATAAGATAAGTAAATCATGTCCTAGAGAAGTAAAATGACTTGCCTGAGGTCATAAGGGTAGTAAGAACAGACCATTCTGACTCTACATACATCTCATGTTTCCACTAGAGCAGAGTCCTATCACACAAGCATTCACTCTGCCCAGCTAAAACTGTATCACCTTCCCAAGGACACTTCATAAAAAACATGGCAGCTTAAGAACCTCCTATTATTCAGACATTTAAGCTCTCTTGCCACTCACTTTTCCCTCCCAACACTACTACCATAGCTTAGAAGAATGGAATAGTGGATATTATTTGAGTTTACATCTTCTATTACCTAGATAAAACTTCCCTGGCCAAGTGAAGGCCTTGGAAAGGAAATATGTTATTATTGTTTGACCTTTTTTTTTTTTTGCTTTTTGGTGAGGTAATTGGGGTTAAGCGACTTGCCCAGGGTCACACAGCTAGTAAGTGCCAAGTGTCTGAGGCCAAATTTGAACTCAGGTCCTCCTGACTCCAAGACTGGAGCTCTATCCACTGCGCCACCTAACTGCCCCTGTCCTTCATTCTTGAAGAGGATCATGGCATCAGGAAGGTGATTCCATGACTTGCAATTGAACTGGATTTAAGTGAGGAGGGCTTTGCAAAGTCACCAGCCTCACTTTCTCCTCCAGATCCACCTGGGTCCAGTGGCCAAATATAGATCAGGACAATTAAAGATGGGGCCCAGACTGGAAATAAGAAGTTAAACCAGAGGCAGCACAGAAGTGTAAAGAGCACCAGATTTACAATGAGAGGAGGTGGATCTGGACCTTGACCACATCTCTGAGTTCTTTCATCTGTAAAACGCAAGGATGGTACCAAATGATATCTAAAATGCTCTAAATTCTATGATCCTACAAATAATAAAGCCTTGCTAGAAAAGGGCAAAGAAAATAAGTTAAAAGATTAAATATTAAAAATGTAAATGGGGCAGACTGTTGATCTTGAAATCAAAAGGGAGAATTTTGGATTTAAATTGGAAAATGACATTAAATCCTAGAGGTTAGACTTTTGTCTATCAAAAAAAAATTACTGTTGTCATTTTGATCATAGATATAAAGCAGGAAGGGACCTTGGAGGTCATGAGTCCAACTCCCTCATTTTACAGATGAGGAAACTGAGGTCCAGAAAGGTTTCTCCTTAGGGTCACACAAATACTAAAGGTCTGAAGTGAGAACAGGAACCCAAGTGTTCGTGACTCCGTTGCCAGCACTCCATCCACTTACACCATTGTACTTCTACCTCAAACACAAACTCATAACATTTGAACTAAGTTTCTGTCACAGTGAAATCAGCAAAATCTCATACACGGTGGGACAACATTGCAAAATAAACCCTTTGAGAAGCAGCATAGTGCAGGCTGGATTTGGGAGCGCAAGGACTTGGATTCATGCTAGTTCTATATCCTTGGACAAGTTATACTTCTCTCATCTCTAAAATGAGAGGGTTGGATTAGTTGGAGAAAGCTAGGTAGAGCAGTGAACAGAGCACAGGGCTTGGAATCACGGTATTATAGTGATCAAATCGGGCTGCAGACACTTACTAGTTGTGTGACCCTAGGCAAGTCACTTAACCTTGTTTGCCTCAGTTTCCCTAAATAAAATGGAGATAATAACAGCATGTACCTCCCAGAGTTCAAATAAGATAACATGCAAATAATGTTTGGCACTGCGTGGATGCTTATAAAAATGCTTATTCCGTCCTCTCCCTCTAGATGATCTCTGAAATCCCTTCTGGTCCTAATGCTATGATTTAAACTGCTCTGAACAAGCCCCCTCTTGCCAATTAATCCAAAAATTGGGAGAGGTGAGTAGATTGGCAGTGAGAAGAATGTAGTTTCCAAGTTAATAAAACACGCAGGAGATTTGGGGTAGGGTAAGGATGGAGCATGGAAGCCGAATCAACTCTCGGGGTTGGGGAGCGGGGAGAATGGGGAATGCAAGTAAGAAATAACATCCCCGGGGAGGAAAAAGCCTGTGTTTACCTGGCTGTTGGTACCAGTGTCCCTGCGGAGGGTCGAAGCCATCGTAGCCTGGAGCCGGCGCCCAGGACCAGTCGCGGGCCGGCTGGAAGTCCCAGGAGTTCTCTGATGAGGCGGGCAGGTGAGGAGGGGGCAGGTGAGGCGGTGGAATGGACGGTGGGGGCGGCGGAGGAGGAAGCACCCAAGATGTCCAGTCCGCAGACTGATCAGCCGGGAGTGTTAGCACCGGGGGCGGCCCGGGCGGAGGGTACCAACCGAAAGGGTCCATGAAACCAGGGGGTGAGCCTGACTGAGAAACAGAGGCAAGACCCGCACCTCTCAGGCAGCCCGCAGCACGTGGGCTAACCTCGGGGGCGGAGACATTATGCGTCACTTCCATTCCACCAGTAAACACACGGCAGGACCAATAGCTGTGTCGTGACGTCACTTCCCCGGCGCCGGAAAAACTGTCCCCGGAGTTTTGCCCGGACTGGGAGACCGAGAGGCACCCTGCGCGTGCGTGTTGTGAGGGGTCTGTGTGTGTCCCGCTACCTGGGCAGGGAGGCTGGGTTGTCCTCGGGCCGCGATGGCCAGGGACCTGATCGGCCCCGCGCTGCCCCCGGGCTTCAACGCCCGAGGGACTGCGGAGGAAGAGCCGGACCTGAGTCCTGGTAAGCTAGGAGGGCTCTCCCGCCCGAGTCGAGGCCAGCCCCGGCCTCTCGGGGTGGCGAGGCCGTCTGTGTGCCGGGCGCCAGGCCGGGGGCTGGGAAGACCCTGGGAAAACGACTCTGTCCCTGCCCTCGTGGGGCTTCCCTTCTACCCGGGGGAGACAGATGCGCGAGAAACAAGTTCAAAGTCGGGAAATTCAGAGTAGCTTTGTGGGGGTGGGGGGAGCCGGGGAGCATCAGGAAGGTCCTGCCGTGCCGAGCTGGGCTTTGAAGGATGCTGGGGATTCTGCTGGAGGGGAGATTGGGGGAAAGGAGTGAGGAGGGAGAACATTGCAGCCGCCATCATCATCATCCTCATAGCATTTGTATAGCTCTTTAAGGTTTGTAGATAAGCTCTCCTTTGATCGTCACAGCAATGCAAGCTATGGCAATAAGACAAGAAAAATAAACTAAAGGAATCGGAATAGATAGAGAGGAAACAAAACTGTCACTCTTTGGACGATATAATGCTATACTTAGAGAATCAACTAAAAAAAAAGTAGTTGAAATAATCGTTTATTTGATTCTCACACAGCAGCCCTGGGAGGTGGGTGCTGTTATGATCCTTATTTTACTGGTAGGAAAACTGAGGCAGACAGAGGTTAAGTGACATGCCCAAGGTCCCACAGCTAATAATCACATTTGAACTCGGGTCTCCCTGACTCTGGTTTCAGCACTCTATCTGTCTACCTGCATAAAGAACCCCTTGTTTAAACACAAGGAGGCAGGAGAAGCTTGCAGGGAACAGCAAGGAAGCCAGTTTAGTTGGAACAGAGCATGTGTTGTCCTGGAAAGGTAGACTGAGAGTTAGATGGTGAAGTTGTCAGTCAGAAAGCATTTGAGGCAGCTGATAGATGGCACAGTGCATAGTTCTGGGCATAGAATTAGGAAGTTCTGAGTTAGTATTCTGCTTGCTGTCTGACCCTGGGCAAATCTCGTAACCTCTGTTAGACTTGGTTTCATCTGTGAATGGGGGTAATAATAAATAAACATAAAGGTATTTCCAAATTCCATTCAGATACATTATAAAGCAAAGAGTAGGCCTACATACGTGGAAAACATACTTCATCATAAGATACTGATTTTTCCTGGGGGGCGAGGGTTGGTATTGGGAAATCCTTATAAAAGAACAAGTGAAGGAAAGGAAAAAAAGCAAAGGAGCCTTAAGTTTTTTTTTTTTTTAGGACAAAAATGTGATGAATTTGAACTTCTGAAATTAAATTATCGGTTCATTTTGTGTCTGTCCTGCTGAGATTTTATGTTTTTAGGAAATTGGCTTGTTTATATCTTGAACAAATTGCTTAGCTCTCTGACCTAATTAATAATGAAGTAATAATAAAAATGTATATTGGGAAGAGGAAAAAATGCTACAGAGAGAAAAAAATCAAGAGAAGTATGATATCCTCTTAATGAAGAAGGTTGAGTGGTTCCCTATTGCCTCCAGGATAAAAAACATACAGCCCATAAGAATGTGAACTCCTTGATGACAGGGACCTTGTTTTTGCCCTAGTTTGCATCTCCAGCCTTAACACAATGCCTCACAAACAGTGTTCATTTATAATAGCTAGCACTTAATACAGCTTCTTAAGGTTTTCAAAGAGCTTTACAAACATCTAATTTTATCCTCTTAAATGAGGTCTTTCTTGTTATCCCCCAACTGTTAGTGCCTTCCCTCATAAATTACGGTGTATATTCTTTGTATATAGTTATAAATGTATCCATTTTCCCTGTTATAAAATATGAGCTCCCTGCGGCCAGGCACTGTTTCATTTTAATCTTTGTACTCCTGGCACTAGCGCAATGCCTGGCACATACATAGCAGATATATCATAAATGCTTGTTAAACTGACTAGGTATAAAGAATTATTAGTCAGATTCATTCACATAGTAAATACTTAATAAATTGTGTTAATACATTGATTTGATTGCACTAGGCATTATCCAGAATATAAGAAAAGAGTTTAGAGAGCTCTCTACTCCCAGCAATTTTAGGATCTTTTTACAGAATGATCATCCCATTTTGGACATCTGCCCTAATACTGATAACACCATACCTCTAGTTTAGATGACTTCCAGTCTCTCCCCCTCTCAAATACTCTTCTTGTTTCTCACTCTTGCTTTGGCTCCATTTCTTTTCCAATGTCTACCTTGTAGATCTCTAGTTCAACTCTTTAGGGTCTTCTGCCAGCATCCGACTGTACATTGTATCCACCATCCATTTCCTTCACTCCTTCTCAGCTACTCTGATACTACTATTCATAATCCTGCTGAACAGACCTGTGGGAAATCCACTACAGATTTGTTATCTATTTGTTGTCTATTTCAACTGGGACCTCACGGTACTGTGGAAATCCTTTTATTCTTCCCCGATTGGCTCTGTCCCACTCCTCACAACAGTAACCGTTCCAAACCTTCTCTCTTCAAGCCTCTTATTATAAATACTTCAGCCTTTCCTTCATGCACTCTGTCGTACAATCATACTGGCCTTCTTGTGGTTCCTTATACGACACATTATCTGTGCTGACTGTCTCCCATACCTGAAATGCACAACCTTCTGACTTCCAATTTATAGAATTTCTAGTTTCCTTTAAATCAGCTTAAGTGACATGGAACTTTTCCTGATTCTCTCCTCTGGCACATTATCTTGTATTTATTTTATGCTTGTATGTGTACCTCTCCCCCCACAGAATGTAAGCTTTTTCGGGTAGTGACTGTTTTATTTTTATCTTGGCCTCTTCAGAACTTAGCACAATGTTTAACACAAAGAAGGCACTTAATCAATGCCTTTTGTTTGATCAGGTGTAAAGGACTGTTAGTCTTTGCTGTTCTTTCCTAAGTGTGGAAACTTTGAGACACATGATTGATTGGAAGCTCCTACTACTAGAGGTCTTGATTTTGACTTTTCTTTCATCTTTTTTACTTCCCCAAAACCTAGCACACTGCTTTGCACATAAGTACCTAGTAAATGTTACTGAATGAGTGATAAATGAATGAGTTTTAGAGCCGTGAAAAGGGAAGATTTCTGTAAAAAACATAAATAAAATAAAGCTAGCAACCTTCTCCAGCAGTTGTCTATCATCACCAAGCATAGCTTACTCAAATCAGCTTGTCCTGTTACTGTCTCTCCCATAGCATGGTGCTATCTTATTATATAATGCTTATTTCCTTTGATGCATGTAAACAACATTAAATTATTTCATGTGCAATATATAGCTGATTTCACACTTCAATATTTCTCTAGTTTTTTTTTTTTTGGTAGTACCATATGCTATTCCTTGAATGTTATTTTCATCTGTTGAAAGTAATAACTAATTCACAGTAGCACAAATTTAAAATAGTTTTACAATCACTATACCTATACAACTACTGTAAATTAAAATTACTGTCCAACCTGTACCACTTCCTCAAAATATACTTTTTTATAATTAGTATAGTCATTCATTTTACAACATCCTTCACATGGCTACGAACCATAGAGCAAAATGAATTAGATCATATTAAAATCCTTCCCAAATCCAAGTGAGAGACAGCATGGCAGATTGGCTAGAAAGCTAACCTCCAGACCACAAAAACCTGCTTTCACATCCCACTTTTGTCACATCCTGGCTGTATGCCCCTCGACACATCACTTAACTCCTTAATGCTCTAGGCAGCTCTATGACTATACGTTTCAGAGAAGGTCCCAACCTGCCTGACTAAAGGAAGTTGTTTTTTTGTTTGTTTGTTTGTTTTGCAATCAGGGTTAAGTGACTTGCCCAGGGTCACACAGCTAGTAAGTTTCAAGTGTCCAAGGCTGGATTCGAACTTAGGTCCTTCTGACTCCAAGGCTGGAGCTCTAGCCACTGTACCACCTAGCTGCCCCTGGGAAGTTCTTCTTTGGGTACTCCCTATGCCAACGAAATGACAGGTCAGGGCAAAATCCAGGTACCTATCACACCTGTCCATGGGGTTTCTGTGGCAAACATACTGGAATGGTTTGCCATTTCCTTTTCCAGTGGATGCTTTTATCAGGCAATAAGAGGTTAAGTGACTTGCTCAGGGTCACATAGCTAGGAAGTATCTGGGGCTGAATTTGAATTCAGGTCTTCATGATTCAGGCCCAATGCTCTGTCCGCTAAGCCATCAGCTGCCTCACCTAGAGACATAGTGTGTTTCAATATTGTACTATAAGTGGAAAGAGGCAAGGAAAGCAAGAAAAAAAGAGGAGGAAAAAACCCTCCTGCTTAAAACTTTAAAATCAAGAGCAAAGGAAGAAAGAAGGGACCATTAGTGAGAGAAGAGCATGCCGAAGTGGCACTCTAATTGAAACAGAATCCCCATTCTGGGGATAATCTCCATTCCTCCTGGATGGTGGTGCTATTCCTTGTTTACGAGGTAAACAAAAAACCAGAGGTACATTAGGAATTCTGTAAACTAGGGGAAAAATTTATCCCAATTTTATAGACTCAGCAAACCTAGGCAACAAAAAATCAAGTATCTTTCCAAATATTTCAGTCTAAAATAGTTTGATTCTTAGTCTTTCTACTATATAGCAGTCATTTCTAGGCTTTTTCCAAAGTATGGTGTTCATCAAACATTTATTAAATGCTTACTATGTGCAAAGAACATGCTAAGTGCTGGGAATATAAAGGTGAAAGATAACCCAGTAAATTCCTAGAGGAATTTGCAATCCCTGAATTCTAGGATAGATTCTAAAATAATCTGTTCTGTTTAATGATATAAAAGAACAGTAAGGGAAATTCTATCAAATTATTGAAGATACTAAAGCAGATAAGCTTTCAAGTTCATTGTGTTAAGTATTAGTGAGAAATAAGACCCTGCCAAGTAGATTGCAACATATTGTCAGTGGTGGTTTGTGCACACACATGAAAAGAGGAAAGAATTGTAAAAGATACATGTGAAAAGAAAGTAGAGTGACTAGTTACATAGTGAGAGAAAGGAGAAACAGATGAGTAATCTGAATATTGCGTTGGTAGTCATAAAATATTAACAGACTTAAAAGAAGGTCTCCTGTGCTTTGGAAAGATCTCATTGATTGCTGCAGAGATTTGTGATTTTGTCAGTGTATTTCCTTCACCGATGCTAACTGCAACCCCTGTATTACTTTGTAGAATTGATTTGAGCACAAATTCATTGCCTTTTAGCCAACCTGGAGTTAAGGTGTCCTGGAATCAGCTAGGCTTGTCCTTGCAAGTTCTCACCACCTAGCTCTTACTCTAAGGCTTTCCAGCTTGGGTGAGCCTATCAGAGTTCACAACTTATCTGGCATAGTTTTAGAACCTCAGGTCATCTGTTTACCACCATAAACGTCAGAGGAGGATATTAGTGAAGGGTCCTTCTGTATGGAATGCCGTTGAAGGTTTTAAGGAAGACAAAGACAGGAACCACACAGGATGAGAAGGGGTTGGATCTGTCCTCGTGGAGGGTATGTCCACATGGAGGAAATCACATAACCGTCACAATATAGCTACTCCAAGGTGCTGAGAATACAAAAGGCTGTTGTTCCTTTTCTGGGGATACAAGCGGAATGCATACATGATAGTAAACAATACCAAATACTATATGCTAAGTGCCAAAGTGAGTAGTAGACAGTCAGCAGTGTGTGAATGCATAGGAGAGCTTTCCTGAAGCTTACAGCATCCGTAGCAAATCTTCTTTAGTTGCAGGACCAGCACTGCCCCCCAACTATAAGAGCAGTAGTTCAGACTCGTCATCCAGTGATGAAGACAGTGATTCTCCTTTGCCACACCAAGGGGGAAAGGAAGATTCTGAAGAGGAACGTGATGCTGGTCCAACCCCAAGGTCAGTCATTTTGGTCATAAGTCATTGTTTAAACCTTCCCTGTGGGATTGTCTATAGTGGAACAGTTGAATGTAGAGACATCTGGGAAAAGGACCTTTCATCTGAATTTGTGTATGCCAAAAGGTAGAAATTATTTCATTTGATGCTCTTATCATAAATTGAATCTATTAAAGGGAAATAATTTAAGTATAACGTGGAGCTGTTGTGTTTCAACCAGTTGCCTTTTATTTAGGAGCCTGTCCTAGAGACAAGTTTCAAACAACTGTCCTAACCAGATTCAAAAAATAATATCTGTCTAGAAGTTTATGATATATATTAATTTGGTTGAGCATACAATTTTTCTTCTAAGACAGAACATCTCTTTAAATCCAGCCTTCCCAAATAATACATATCCTATTTTGTACTCATTGCTCTATTTTTACCCTTTTGGAGAAGGATTTTTATCTATTTCCCCATACCACTTTTCTGTTACAAGCTTGCTTACTTAGGCCTGTCTCTACAAGGAGCCACCCTAAATTCTGAGTTGTTTGCATTCATGCACTCAAAGGCATGAGTACTTAGTCATTCCTTAGACTATATGAACACCTGAAACTGCGCTGCCTGTAAGATCTTGACTCTGCAGTCCCCCCAGCATAATTTCCTGTCTTTTTCCTACTTCTCACAGCTTGACTACTTCTCAACCAGTTTTTCACTCTCATCTCAGCTTCTATTCCCTTCATCTCATGTATTGTCAGTGGTGATCTCTGTTCTGGCCTTATTTCTCACCTGTCATGGGCTTGAATGAGACATTAGCCATTTCCATGAGAGTCTGCACTTTATTCTTATCTCTCCCTTCCTGCTTATCCTGTTACTGCCCTTTAAATCCCCAGCCCAGGGTCACCCCCACCATCAGCCTTCTTCGCCTCTATTCCAAAGCACTTCTATAGGAACCCAGGAAACTCTGCTGACTTAGTCCATTATAAATTCATGGTATCTGATGTCCCTTACTTTCCCTGACCCCTGCACAGCAATCGTTTTATTAATTCTGACTGACTACATGTCACGCTGTCCACAGGAGCTGTTACAAACCTCCTTCTTTGTCTTCTAGTCTCCAGTTCACCTTTATTTCACTCCATCACTTTTCCCTGTCTCTCAGAAAATGATCTTACTTCATACCAAGAAAACTGAGACCATCAGTTGTGCATATCTTCGTTTTCTGTCTAACGCAACTCACGACTTCTCTGGACTCTCATCCATCCTTTCTTTGCTCTAGTATCAGAACTGAAGTTGCCCCTTTCCTTGGTCATGCCTCCACTTTTCCCCTCCTCTTAGACTCTGATCAATTCCCTTCTCATTTCATCTGTCAGCCATCTCCTTCCTGCCGCCTACAAGTATGCTGAAGCCCCCCCGCCATCCTAAAAAAAGTCATTCTTGTCATCCCCTCAAGCTATCTTCCCATGTTTTTTCCTTTTCATTGCCAGACTTCTGGAAAAAGTAGCCTGCACTTACTTCCTCTGTTTCCTCACTGCCCAGTCAGCTCTTCAACTCTTACTGCTAATCTCACATCTCTGTGGAAAGTGATCCCTCCAGTATCCCTAGTGACCCAATTGCCAAATCTAATGGTCTATTCTTAGTCCTTGTCCTCTGTGACTTTTGCAGTATTTGATACTATTAATCACCACTCTTCAACTTGATAATTTTTTCTCCCCTTGAGTTCCCTGACACTGCTGTCCCCTGGTTCTTTTACTATTTGTCTATTTCTCCTTTTTTTTTTTTTTTGATGGTTCATCATCATGTACCTAAATGTAGTTGACCCCCCCCCATCCCCAACCCAAACTCTGTCCTTTTTTTCAATAAATTCAATTCACCAGGCATTTAGTAAGTACCAAATTTTGTGCCCAGAACTGTGGCAGCCACTGAGGTACAAAGACTAAAATAAAACAATTCCTTCTCTTAAGGAGCTTACATACTACTGAGGGGGAAACAGCAGGTACTCGGGGTGATTGAATACAAAATGTATTTGAGGTAAATACAAAGCAGTTTGGGAAGTGAGGGATTGTGGAATTACTAACCCTAGACAGTCTCTTTCACCCCCATCACTTCAGTCATGGAGGAAATGCCTTGCAGATCTCTTTATCTAGTCCTTCTTTCTCCCTTCACACATCTCCAACTGTTGGCTGAACTTCTCAACCTTAATGCTCCATTGGAACCACAAACTTAACATTATCATCCAAAATCATCTGATCTTGTTCCCTAATGCTGGTTTCCCTATTTCTCTTAATAGCACAACATCTTCCCAGGCTTGAAACCTTGATGTTATTTTGGACTCTAGTCCTAGTTAATTCTCCTTCCATAACATCTCTCATATATACTCCTTTTTCTTTGCTTGCATTGCCACTCCCTTAAATCTAGCCCTTATCACTGCTCCTCTGGACTCTTATAGTACCTCAGTAACTAGTATCCCTCCCTCCTAGCTTATTCTTCACATAGCTTACAAAATAATCTTCTAGCAAATGGGCCTGATCCTATTATTCTGATGCTGAAAAACTTTTAGAGACTCATTATTGCTTGTGGGATAAACTACAAATTCCTTAACCTAGGATTTAATGCTTTCCACAGTCTGGTTCAGCATTATTTCATAGTAGTCTCCTTGCCACACTCTATATTCCATCCAAATTGGGCTGCTGTCTGGTCCCTGTTGTCTGCTACCTCAGTACATTCTTGCCCCCCGTAACTATGGTGACCTTTTGATTAATCTCTGCCTGTTGAGATATCCTTCTCTTCAAGGCCCAGCTCAGGTTCAGGCTCCTCCAGAAAACCTCCTCTGATCCCCTCAGATGAAAATAACCTCTCCTCAAATTTTCTTAAGACTCTTAACATAAATCTCCTCTTTGTACCCCTATCATGTTCTACTAACATCGTATTCAATTGTACTCATGTGTATACATGTTATACCTCCCTTATTATACTTTAAATTTGAGTGAAGAAACTCTATTGTTTTTCCATCTTTGTATCCTTAGTGTCACACCCAGTGCCTTTTATAGAACAGCCACACAATAAATGTTTGTGTTATAGCTGCATAAGTTAAACTGCTTTGTGCAGGAAATTAAAGGACAAGCAGAAACAGCACTGAACCTGGAGTTATTACCTGAGTATAGTTCTGACTTTATCACAGATGGGCTGTGTGACCTTCCGATAATCCCTCAATCATCTGGATCTTAGTTTCTCAGGTGAGGGGTGGGGAACCTGCAGCCTCGAGGCCACGTGTGGCCTTCTGGGTCCTCAAGTGCAGCCCATTGACTGAATCCAAACTTCACAGAACAAATCCCCGTAATATAAGGATTTGTTCAGTAAAACTTGGAACCAGTCAAAAGGCTGCACCTGAGGACCTAGAAGGCCACGTGTGGCCTTGAAGCCACAACATGAAGACCCCTTTCCCAGGTCTTCTCCAGCTTTTTCCTGAAAGCCATGAAGGAATAGAGGAACTCCTAAAATTGTTATTTTATTATTGAACTAGCTGAGCACAATATACTCAGTATGTTGAACTCTGAAGAATGGAGATAGTTTTCCCATCCTCCTGGTGCACAGGTGAGGATCTCATCTTTGTACTAAAAAAGGTAGGCCATTTGAAGAGTCTTCTCATTTTATGAGTTTCAGAACCTCTTGATATCTTCCCTCACTCTTGCCTCCAGTCTCTAACAGTGATGTAACTCTTCTCCTGGGTAAGGCCAGCTCCTCTGCATGTGTGAGAGATCAAATCCCTTTCTGTCTTCTGCAACAGATTTCAAACTCCGTTCCCTCTCTCTCTGTCTGTCTCTCTCTCTTTCGCTTCTTCAACATCTCCCTATATCCGAGTTCCTTCCCTACTGCCTTCAAACATACCCAAGCCTCCCCCATCCTTAGAAAACCTACATTAAGCCATACCATTTCCCCAAACTGTTGTCCTAAATCTGTCCTCCCTTTCTCAGCTAAATTCCCAGAAAGAGCTGTCAGTACTTGCTGCCTTTGCTTTCTCTCCTCTCACTCATTTCTCAACCCTTTGCTACGTGACTCAACTGAAACTGCTTTCTTCAAAATTATCACCAATCTTTTAATCAGCAAATCTGGTGGCAATATCTCAGCCCTTATACTTCCTATCTGTTGTATTTGACACTGTTGACCTCTCCCCCAATCCCCGCCCCTCTCTTTTTGGATACTGTCTCTGGGCTTTTCTGACACCACTCTTTTGGTTCTCCTCTTACGTGTCTGACCACTATTTTTCCATTTTTCTTTGCTGGTTTATCATCCATATCATACCCTGTAACTGTAGGTATTTCCCAACATTGTCCTAAGTCCTCTTCTTTTCTTCTTGTTCTCTCTCTCTTTTTGGAACTTCCTCAGCTTTCATGGGCTTAATTATCATTTCTATGCAGATTAACACATGCAGAATATGTATATATGTGTGTATATATAGCAGATAGATAGATATCTATAGATATCTGTAAATCTGTTTTTATACATCTCCAGTCCCAGTCTCTTCACTGAGCATCAGTTTCATGTTACCATTTGTCTATTGGACACTTGTATCCTTAAACTCAAAATGTCTAACACTGAACTCTTTATTTATCTTTTCCCCAAAACTATCCCTTCTTCCAAACATTGTGTTGAAGGCATCACCATCCACCCGGTTGCCCAGGTTCCTGATCTCAGCATTATCTTTGATTCCTCCCTCTCTGACATTCCACATATATAACCAGAAGCCAAAACATACCTTTCCTACCTATACAATATATCTGTCATTGAACCTCTTCTCTCAGTTCACACAATTACTACTTTAGTTTCAGGCCTCCCCCACCTCTTATTTATATTGTTTCATTCATTCAGTAAAGATTTATTTTTTGCCCTTTTTGGGGGGGGGGGCAGCTAGGTGGCACAGTGGATGGAGCATCAGCCCTGGAGTCAGGAGGACCTGAGTTCAAATCCGGTCTCAGACCAGACACTTGACACTTACTAGCAGTGTGACCCTTGACAAGTCACTTAAATTGCCCTTAACCCAATTGCTTCGCCAAAAAAAAAAAAAAGCCCCAAAAAAACAAAAAGTAAAGCTTTATTAAGGACCTACTATGTGCCTGGCACCTTTCTAAGTACTAAGGATACAAAAAGAGGCTGACATTGCAGTAGCCTCTTAACTGGCCTTCCAGCTTTAAGTCTCTTACCAGTCCAGTGCATCCTTCACTCTGCTTCCAAAGTAAGTTTCCTTAAGTGCAGATTTGATGACTTGAAGATAAACTATAAATCTTTATTTACCTTTTAAACTCCTTTACAACTTCAGCCCACTTTTACAGTCTCATTGTGGCCAAGTATCAACGGGTTAATGTAAACTATTGGTATCTGGCAAGTTATTTGGTAGTGAGGCTTTCTTGTGCCTCTGAGAAAATATCAGACCTTCCAATCCCTCATCTCTTCCTCACATGGTCTTGGGAATGGAATTGCTAACTTTTTGGCTTAAATATGCCCCACTCATGGGCTGAGAACATCTTTATGAAAGACACTTCAGATGTAGTTGATGTTGCTATTATGAAGAAGAACAAGATTTCTTACTGATGTTTAGGCAAGCAAAAAAAAAAAAAAACTCCAGAAAAAGGTTACAATAAAAATTTATGTGCTGTGTAAAATTATTTCATTCTTTCTTTGATGGCTTCCATTTTTTTCAGTCTCATGTTTTAATCAGTTGAGTATATGACTTCCCATAAAATATTAGAGTTTTTCTGACAAGTTTTCTTGAAATAATTTTGTGGTTGCTTCTCTCATGTGTAAACAAAGTGAAATTGCTTCCTTTTCAGAAAACAGAGAAGAAATCAAAATGAAGAAGAAGATGATGATGATGATGGCTTTTTTGGGCCAGCTCTTCCTCCTGGATTTAAAAAACAGGATGATTCTCCACAGAGGTAACTAACATGAAATGATAGTACAGGTTGATCTTTTCTAAGTGAGATTCTTCTAATTAACATACTTTATGTGCTAGTTGTCGGGGCTAGAGAACCAGCAGACTTGGGTTAAAGCCCAACTTTTGACACATACTGGCTGTGCAACTAGGAAAGTCACTTAACCCCTCAATGCTGTAGGATACTCTCTAAGACTAAAAGTTGCAGAGAAGGCTTGGCCTTCATTGATAGAGGGAGGTTGCTGACCGTAAGTTCCCAATGCCAGTAGAATCACAATTTTTGTTCCTATGCTCTTAATTTCTTAAAGACTTTTATTCCTAATATGATGTTTCCCTTTGGTGGCTAAACTCCGTGAGATGGCCATCTACAGCAGGTACCTTCACTTCCTGTCCTCTCACTCTTTCTTAAATCCTTTGCAGTCTGGCTTCCAGCCTCATCATTGAAATAAAACTGCTCTCTCCAAAGTCACCAGTGATCTCCTAACAGCCAAATCTAATGGCCTTTTCTTAGTCCTCATCCTTCTTGAGCCCACTGCAGCCTTGGACACCATAGCTCATCCTCTTCTCCTACACACTCTCTTCTCTCTAGGTTTTCATGACGTGGCTTTCTCTTGACTTTGACTGACCACTCCTCAATCTCCTTGGCTGTATTTTCATCCATGTTATGACCAGTAATTATGGGTGTCACCCAGCAGTAATTATGGGCCCTCTTCTATTCTCCCTCTACACTTTCTTGCTAGGTGATCTTATCATCTCATGAGTTCAATTGTCATCTCTACACAAATGACTTTCAGATCTATTAATCCAATCTCTGTCTTCTGGTCAGGCATCACCAATAGCCTATTGGATATCTCAAATGTAATCTCCCTTAGGCTTCTCAAACTCAACATTCTCAAAACAGAACTCATTATCTTTTCCCCTCCAAACTCTCCTCTCTTCTAAACTTACCGTTTACTGTCCGTAGCAGTGCCATACTCTCAATTGTCCAAGCTCTGAACCTACGGGTCTTCCTTGACTCCTCATTTATACTCATCCCACATTTCTAATCTGTTGCAAAGCCATTTTGTTTGGACCTTCACAATATGTATCTCCTATGTTCCTTTCTCTTTGTCCACACAGCCACCATCATAGTATAGACCCTTATTACCTTATGCCTGGATTATTGCCCTAGTCTCTGAATGGTCTCTCTGCCTCAAGTTTCTTCCCACTCCCATCTATCCTTCATTGATCTACCAAAGTGATTTTCCTAAAACACACATCTGACTATGTCATTTCCTCTCCCATCCCTTCAGTTAGTAAACTCCAGTGGCTCTCTGTCATCTCTAGGATCAGAGTAAGGCAACATAAACGTGCCTGCTGTGTGCCAAGCACTGTGCCGGGCGATGGGGATACAAATAACTGCATAAGACAGTCTCTGCCCTCAGGGAACTCACAGTCTAACGAAAGAGACAACAAATAAAAAGAAACTGATAAGTAGGGATGGGGATAGAGGGGAGGGGTGAGGTTACTTGGCATGGCGATGTGATGAAGTCATGTAGCCAGTGTAGGAAAAGATTTGAAGATATGTGAATTTCCTAGAGTTTCTGGAGATGATGAAGTCCAAGAAAGTAGTTGGGTGGGAAGTGATGAGGAGAATCCTCGGGTACTGTCCTGAAATAGTAGGGGATCTGGGAGGAGCTCTCCAATGTCTACCCTCCACCTCTCCTGTTAGAGTGAGGGAGGGGGCCTGGGGCAGGAGGTGGAGATATAAAATACTTTGCTATAAAAAGCCCTTTACAGCTTGGCCCATTGTTATCTTTACAATCTTCTTAACACTTTACTCTCTTCCATATACTTTATGATCCAGCAAGACTGGCTTTGCTGCTGTTCTTTATACACAAAATTCTGTCTCTTGGTTTGTTTCTCTTGACTGGCTGCCCCTTGTGCCTGGCATGTTCTCCACCATACTGGTCCCCTTCTCCTATTGGTGAGTTCCTAGGGTGGGGGGCGGGGTGCTTTGCCAGGCAGACTAGTCATGCTTCTAGCTATGCTTTGAGTTTCCCTGGGCTTCACGTCAAAGCCCCCACACAAGTATCTTCTCCCCATCCCTTCAACTTTTCAGCTTTTTAATGTGTTGTTTTTCCCTGTTAAAATGTAAACTCCTTGAAGACAGGGATTGCCTTTCTTTTTGCTTGTCTTTGTATCCCCAACACTTAGCACAATGCCTCATACATACTAGTCATTTAATAAATGTTTGTTGCCTGCCTGCTCTCTCCCTCATCTTCACCTCCTGCTTCCCTGGCTTCCTTCAAAACAGTACATTAAAGATATATGGCACTTTCCATTACACTTTCCATTCTCACGCGTTATCTCATTTGATTCTTAAAATACTCTGAATATTTTAGATAGATATCTAAAATAAATCAGTAAAATAAAATAATAAAATAAATTTAGATAGATATCAGAACAGATACTTAACTCATTTTTTGAAGTTTAGGAAACTGAGGCTCAGATTGGTGAAGTAATTGGTCATTCATTTTATGTCAGTGGCCAAGAAGTGGCAGAGCTGGGAGTAGACTTCTAGACTTCAGATCCCCTGCCCAGGGCTCTTTTCCACTACACTGTCCTGCCTCTTTGAAGACATTGAGAAGTTAGAAAATAGTCAGCAGTACCTTGAGAATTGTAGGAAACTGTGAAGAATCATGAAGCCAAAAAGGTGCAGTGAAATTTTCTTTCTTGTCTTCCTAGAGTTTCCTACTTGAAGGTCAAGGGAGGTGGGGAACCTGCAGCCTCAAGACCACATGTGGCCTTCTAGGTCCTCAGTGTGGCCTTTTGACTGAGTCCAAGTTCACAGAACAACTCCTTTTATCAAGGGGATTTGTTCTGTGAAGTTTGGATTCAGTCAAAGGAGGACCTAGAGGGCCACATGTATCCTCAAGGCTGCAGGTTCCCCACCCCTGATCAAGAGGCTTACAGTAGAACCAAGAACTCTCGCTGATGTCTGTGCCAGACTCCAGCAGTAGCTTTCTCAGAGATCACAGTTGTGATTTCCAGCCAACCCAGATGTTGAGAATGTTAATTTAGCTAACATTGTGAATACTACTCATTATTGCTGTGTCTGTTCACTTGTTGCTGTCTCCTTTTATTTAAATCTGCTTGTTAGAAATTAAATCTGTGATCCTTGCCAGAGCCACATCTGTTCATAAGTAGCTCTGCTTATAACCTTAATGACTCTTAACATAGATTTCATTATTGGTATCACACAAAGACCACCTTCCCCTCAACTCTAAGCCTATAAGAGCTGAGGAATAGCCATGCCCCCAGATTGCTGGCTCTGCTTCTAACCTACCCTTTGTATAACTGTTACAAAGGGAGAAACCCTTAGGGAGAAGAGGCTGGGTCCCACTACCAACAGTGCCCATTGACAACTCACTGCCACTAGTAGACTGGTAAGCCCAAGACCTCTAGAAACTGAAGCATCACCACCCTCAGACCACAAGCCTGGCTCCTGCAGTTATAGTCCAGGGAAGCAGCCCTGTGCACATGGGAACTCGCAGCTTCCTCTGCAAATGTAACATTTCCCACATCCTCTGCAGCCACAACTACTGAAAACCTGGAAAACGAAGTTCTCACCCCCAGAGTCCTGGGCACTGTCAAATGGTTCAGTGTCAGAAGCCATGTTGTTTTATTAACTGAAGTGACATTAAAAATGAATACATTATCATCTGTTTTGCCTCTGCATCTCAAGGTCCATGGAACCTTTCCATCTGACTTGCAACTCCTATATTGCACACTCCCTTTATAAGAATATAAGTTTTTGAGAGCAGGACCTGTTTTCCGTTTTTATTTATGTCCCTAGCACTTAGCATAGTTATTTGCACATAGTAAGCCCTTAACATAAATGCTTTTTCATTTATTCATTCATTGGAAAGTGACCGCCAAAAGTGAGGGCTTAGGTAATTCCTAGGCACATAGTAGAACAGACTTCCCCAGATTCAGTCTGTAGTACTCTCCAGTAACTAATAGCCCAGTAACCTCCTTTGTAGGTGTAGGAATGCCTGGCAACCATTGCAAATTACAATCCATCTTTACTTTCACACTTTGCAATTCTGGTCCATGTTTCACCCTAAATCCTCCAAAGAGGATCTGTCCAACTCACTTTCTTTAAATTTTTTAAGTTATCGTGGGTACAAGTGGGTCATATATCACTTATCCATGGTCATGTCATGACAATAAGTGGCATTAAAGGGTGATTTAATGTAAAACATTTTCCTTTTTTTTTTTTAATGTTTAAAATACAATTTGATTATGCAGCTGTTAGGATAACACATTAGCACTCTCAAAGGTTGAGAATCACTGAAAGAAGATCTAATTGTTGACTGACAGAGAACTAAAGTGAAGTGGTTTTTTTCCTGATTTCTGGTAGAAAAACACTTAGAAGAGAGTTCCTTTTCAAAATAACATTTGGATAATTTGAATTTTTTTTCCACGTACCTGATTTCTGATTAGCTTAGTTTTATGTGCTTTTATGTTGAATATATGAACAGCTATAAACTTGACTTTTATTTTTAGGCCAATCATAGGTCCTGCATTGCCACCTGGTTTTAATAACCGAGCACAGAAGGCTGGGGAAAACAGAGATGACCTAGGAGTACCAGTGTCATCATCTTTCAACTCTGAGGTTTGGAAAAATTGAATTTTAAAAATTAAGATGAACAGAACACTCTGTGCTTCTTTTATCAAACTTTCATATTATACCTTACTTCATAGTCATTTCTGTACACATTTGAGCTTTCTTGCCAAGCCTTTAATCACCATGAGGTCAGGGACCTCTCTAAGCCATTTTTGTATCCCCCAGGTGGGAATTTTATGCTTGGTCGTTAAATAAGTAAGGAACTATAGTCCAGAAGATTATGCTCAACAATTTCCCATTTCCACTAAAGACAGAACAAACTCAACTAAATTTATATATTTAACAGGAAGAATTTAGAATAAAGATAAGATAGAATTTCTGACTAGATTATTAAATACTGTAATGGGTTACAAAGGAAGTTGTAAAATCTCCTTCTTTGACTATCTTTAAATATAGGCTGGAGACCTGTATCAAATAAAAGCAAAAAAAAATTTAAAGGTATCTTCTTTGCCCTTAAAGATCTTATAATTGAGCTATGGAGATGAAAAGATAGGAAACGTTAAATAACAATAAAAGACTTAAATAATAATTTAAGAGTGTAGAAGAGTTCTATACAAAGAGATAGAGTTCTCCTTGAAACCATTGGAATAAACTAGGTCAGAGATATCACACTTGTGGCCACAAAACTCTTAGTGCTGCCTGAATCAGATGAAAATGTAATTGAGAAATGTTCAACAAAATAAAAAAAGATATAATAGATAATATTTGTGGTTTTCTAAATCAGTATGTACCCCCAGGGATCCATTTCTAGTTGAGTTTGACACCAGCGAACTAGATCATTCTAGAAAATAACAAGATAGGCTCAGATTCTTAAAACCTAGCCAATAGCTCACAAATGTTCAGATTCCTTAAGAATCTGGCCAATATGGCAAATCTTAAATAAACCTTGTCTTTGGCTGAAAAAAAAAAAGAAAAGAACAGGATACCCATTTTTATGGGTACCTAAAACTGTCCATAGATAACTGAGTTCTGAATGGCCAGGTGTGGGTTATGGTTGTCTACATTGTGAGGATGAGTAACAAATCACAAAGGGAAGATGGCCCTCATCCCTCTTGTTCCTCTCATCCCAAGGTAGGAAGTCAATTCTTAGGTAGGAGACAATTCTCTGGTTTCTTGTCCAATTCTTAGTCATTCTCCTGATATTCTGTGACTTAAAGTAGAGATGCTGGTAAATGACGTAGCCCCATCTGTGTAGCACTAGAGAAACTAAGACAAAGAGCAGAAGGAAAGGAAGGGGAGGTAGGGAAGAGACAGAGAGGGGAAGGGAGGGAGACGAGAGTGGAGAGAAAAGAGGTGGGGAAGAGCACATTTATTAAGCGTTTTCTGCTGAGTGTTGAGTATACAAACGCAGGCAAAATAGTGGATAGTTCCTTCCCTCTATGTGTGGACCACACGTAGAGTTGGGAGAGGAGAGCATGCAGCAGCAGCAGCATAGCGCAGAAGTACCTGGGAAGCAGTGTGAAAGCCTGCTCCTGGGCAAGATACAGTGAAAATTCACCCATTAGAGTCTGTTGTCCCCAGGGGCAGAGTCGAAGGTTCTAATGGGAAAGAAGATGAGGATATTGGCTGGGGCACGGGCATTGTGGTGTGGAGATGGCCCCAAAGTGCTAAAACAAGTCCTTAGTGCTTTCACTAGGATCACTGGCCAAGAATGGTGCCCATGTATTTGGGTGGTGAGAGGGACATGCTTAGCTAGGCCGATTCAGCCATGCTGGAGTGATGTCCTTGTTTCTTCTAGTCCTCACATCATTTATTCTGCTTGATGAAATTTTCAGGGAGCTGTGAGAACTCTTGATAGTGTCTGTTAACTCATGCATTGCAATGTACTTTACCAGTTCTTGGCTGAATGGCCTGCCTGAACCAGAGAGTTGCTGAACTCTGGCAATGTTAAACCCATAATTGCCCGATTTAATTCTTGACTTGCTAACGTACCTTGTGTTTAAATTCAAAAAGTCCTTAGCACTTTTATCCATGGGCCTTTTAAATATAACATGAGATAATGTGACTACTCCAACATAGGTAGCATGGAAAAGAGTTACTATACATTTAAAAGTTTTTCAATTAATATTTACAAAAATCATAAATTGCCAAGCTTACCAGAAGAGGAAATAAAATACTTAAATAGCCCCATCTCAGAAAAAGAAATTGAACAAGCCATCAATGAACTCCCCAAGAAAAAGTCCCCACAACCAGATGGATTCACAAGCAAATTCTACCAGACATTTAGATAATAGTTAATTTCAAACTATTTGAGACAAGTAAGGAGTCTTACCAAATTCCTTTTACAAATATGGTGCTGATACCTAAGCCAGGAAGAGAGAAAACAGAAAAAGAAAATTACATGAATATTGATGCAAAAATTTTAAATAGAATACTTGCAAGGAGATTATAGCAATATATCATACACTGTGACCAGGTATAATTTTTACCAGGAATGCAGGGCTGGTTCAATATTAGGAAAACTATCAGCATAATTGGCCACATCAGTAGCAAAACCAACAGAAATATGATTATTTCAAAAGGTTCAGAAAAACTTTTGACAAAAATACAACAACCATTCTTATTAAAAATACTGGGGAGCATAGGAATAAACAGATCTTCAGCAAGTGTTATCTGTAATGGGGATAAGCTAGAAGCCTTCTCAATACAATCAAGATGGGAGAGGGCAAGGATACTCCTCAACACCACTATTATTCAATATTGGACTAGAAATACTAGCAATAAGAGAAGAATAATAAATTGAAGGAATTAGAATAGGCAGTGAGGAAACAAAACTTTCACTCCTTGCAGATATGATGGTATATTTAGAAAATCCTAGATAATCGGCTAAGAAACTAGTTGAAATAATTAACATTTTCAACAAAATTGCCAGTTACAAAATAAACCCACATAAATTGTCAACATTTCTATATATTACCAACAAAATCTAGCAGCACGAAATAGAAAGAAGAATTCTATTTAAAATAACTGTAGACAATATAAAATACCAGGGGGTCTGCCTCTCAAGACAAACACAGAAACTATATAAACACCATTACAAAACACTTTTCACACAAATAAAGTCAGATTTAAACAATTGGCAAAATATTAATTGCTAATGGGTAGGCCGCCAATATAATAAAAATGACAATTCTACCTAAAGTAATCTATATAAATCAATCTATGGTAGTGCCATACCGGTCAAACTACAAAAATTATCTTATAAAGCTAGAAAAAATAATAACAAAATTCATCTGGAAGAACAAAAGGTCAAGAATATCAAAGGAATCAATGAGAAAAATGTGAAAGAAGGGGGTCTAGCCATACCAGATCTCAGACTGTGTTCTAAAGCAGTAATTATCAAAACAATCTTAGTACAAGCTAAGAAGTAGAATGGTGGATCAGTGGAATAGATTAGGTACACAATACATAGCAATAACCTAGTGTTTGATAAACCCAAAGATCCAAGCTTTTGGGACAAAAACTGCTGGGAAAACTGGAAAACAGTATGGCAGAAACTAGGTATAGACCAACATTTCATGCCATATACCAAAATAAGATCATGGCTACATGATTTAAACATAAAGATGATAGCTTAATAGGCAGATTAGGAAAGTATGAAATGGTTTATCTGTCAGATCTATGGATAAGGGAAGAATTTAGGACAAAACGAGATAAAGAGAACATTACAAAATGTAAAATGGATAACTTTGATTATATAAAATTAATAAGTTTTTGTACAAACAAAACCAATGCAACCAAAATTAGAAGGAAAGCAGAAAACTGGGGAAATGAATTTTACAGCAGATATCTCTGATAAAGGCCTCGTTTCTCAATTATGTAGAGAACTGAGTGAAGTTTATAAGAATACAAGTTATTCCCCGATTCTGAGGTAACACATGACACCTATCAGATTGGCTAACATGACAAAACAGGAAAATGATAAATATTGGAGAAGATGTGGGAAGATTGGAACACTAATGCACTGTTGGTGGAGTTGTGAACTGATCCAACCATTTCGGAGAGCAATTTGGAACTATGCCCAAAGAGCTACAAAACTCTGCATACCTTTGATTCAGCAGTACCACTGCTAGGTCTGTATCCCAAAGAGAGTTAAAAAAAAAAAAAAAAGGAAAAGATCCTGATTGAACAAAATTATTTGTAGCAGCTCCTTTTGTGGTGGCGAAGAATTGGGAATTGAGGAGATGCCTGTCAATTGGGGAATGGCTGAACAAGTTGTGGTATATGATTGTGATGGAATGTAATTGTGCTATGAGAAATGATGAGCGAGATGATTTCAAGAAAAGGGGAAAGACGTAGATGAACTGGTACAGAGTGAAGTGAGCAGAACATTATACACAGTAATAGCAATATTTGTTCAATGAAGATCTGTGAAAGATTTGACTGTTCTCAGCAATACGACGATCCAGGACAATCCCAAAGGACTCATGAGAAAAAATGCTATCCACCTCCAGAGAAAGAATCGATGTTCTCTGAATACAGACTGAAGCATCCTCTTCCTTTCTTCCTTCCTTCCTTTCTTTTTTGTTAGAGTTTTCTTGAACAAAGTGACTAATATGGAAATGTTTTACATGCTGTTACATGTATAACCTATATCAGATTGCTTGTCTGAATACAGACTGAAGCATACTCTTCCTTTCTTCCTTCCTTCCTTCCTTCCTTCCTTCCGTCCTTTCTTTTTTGTTAGAGTTTTCTTGAACAAAATGACTAATATAGAAATGTTTTACATGCTGTTACATGTATAACCCATATCAGATTGCTTACCATCTCAGGGAGGGGCTGGGGGAGGGAACGAAGGATAGAATTTGGAACTCACCTTTTTAAAAAAAATGTTAAAAATTGTTTTTTACATGTAATTAGAAAAAGTAAAATGTTATTTTTAAAAAAGTTTTTCATATCAAAAGGATCTAATATACCTTTCTAGAATTAGGATTTTTTTTCTGATGTGTTTGACTTTTCTATCTTCTCTTCTTCCTTCTTTTATTTGT